CTCCCTAGTGGTGCAAGGGGTTAGTCTCAGCACTGAGATGCTGTTCCCGGCTGCGGCATCATCTCTGGCCAGGGAAGTGACCCACGTGACACAGCAGACCTCTCCTGTCTGGCCCTTGCTCCCTTCAGCAGTGGATTTCAGCCAATTTGCCTGTTCTGCTCCCCACTCTGTCTCTGGTGAATCCTCTCACCCCCAGCATTTCTGGCCTGCACCCCAGTTCTTGTTTGCATAAATAAATAAATTTTTAAAAAAGCAACAACACTATAATGTTAAATACCATCTTGTGGCACTTATAATCTAAGTAGCTGTAGTTCATCTGACAAACAGAACATCAAAAGATCAAAGACTTTTTACATTTTAGGTGAAGGGGAGCAGTAATAATTGTAAGTCCATTGTGACAAAGATGTATAATTCCTTTTAACAGTCACTAAAAAGAAATGCAAGGGGATACAATTGAAAAGGCAATAGTCAAAACTGAATTCTAAAGAGGATTCAATAATCCAAACAAAGGCAGAAGATGAGTTGTAGAGGGGGAAACAACTTCAGACATAACTGATATGACGGACTAAACACTTCAAGACAGAGGTGAGCAGAGTGATTTGTTTGAGAATCCATACATCACCTTCATGATGAACATTCCCATTTCTCCTGTGCAGTGGCCTAGATGTCTGCTTGTGTCTCAGCCACAAGCCAAGCAGGGCTGGGACCATTCACAAGTGCCAGTGAGAACTGGGTCACAGCAGCAAAAGGGCCGGCTCCCCTGGATGGGCAGTCACTGTCCCCACTTCATAGAGGAGCTGCCTGAGGCCCAGAGAAATTCGCAGACCACATGTCTCACTACTTTATGTCATTTCATTTTTTTAAAGATTAATTTTTATTTAGTTATGCATATAAGATCTGAGGTGTAGGCCAGAGGTGCAGGGAGTGATTCACCAGAGACAGAGTGGGGAACACAACAGGTGAATCTACTGAAACACACTGTTGAGGGGAGCAGCAGGCAAGACAGGAGAGGTCTGCCACCTTGTGGGTCAGCTCCCTGGACTAGATAGAACTGATGCACTCAGGACCCTCCCTGGTGGTACAACAGATTAAAGCACAGCACTGCAAAGCGATTCACAGCCACTTTAGCACAAGTTGATTCCGGGCCAGGAAGGTGATCCACATGGCAGAGCAGACTTCTCCTGACCCACCCTCAGCAGTGTATTTCAGTCCACCTGCCTGTTCTACTCCCCACTCTGTCTCTGGTGAATTCTCTCACCCCCACACTTCTGGCCTACACCCCAGTCCTTGTATGCATAAGTAAATAAATCTTTTTTTTAAAAGATCACCCCCCCCCGGGGGGAAAAAAAAAAATCACCCCCTGTCCTCAACAGGGGTTGGTGATAGCTTGATAGTGCTGAGACTCAGTCCTGTGCCACCTGTTCATCCCATGAGACTATCTATCTCTTTGACTATTGAATCCTCACTGCCTAAAACCCTAGGCACAGGAAGTGCTCAATGGATGGATCAGTAAGTGGACGGAGAGGTGGGTGATTAGGTGGGTAAATACATAGGTGAATGGGTGGGGGACTGGTGGGCAGGTGCATGGGTGGATGCAACCCAAGTTTCAGTTGGCGCTGACAGTATCAGGATCTGAATTGTTCCATTCCTAGGTTTCATCAACCACACAGTTGAGTACTTTCAATAATTTCAGCAATATTGAAAGTGAACAAACAATAGAGCAACAGGTGGGAAGGAGGAATACGGGCCCCTGGACACACAATTGAGTAGCTGACTCAGCAATTTTGAGTAAATTGCTGAGCCTCAATTTCCCTGTGTCTCATGAGCTAAAACCATGTCCCCAGGCTTCCAAGGAGATGTTATGGTCTCTCTAGGATGGGCCTCCCCAGCAGACAAACCCATTATTCCTGTGTCCCCAACACTCTAAAGGCTAAAGAGGTAACACATCTCTCAGAGTGACTTGGAAGGCTCCAGGGGACTCCAAGGGCAGAGGAGCCGGGGAGAAAACAGCTGGTCCCTGTATACCAACACCCAATCCCTCTACCATCCCCACTCACCTGCCCCTGAAGCTGAACCCACCAGCCCGAATGGCCAGCTTTGGGACCCTGGTGCCACAGTGGCTTTGTGACTCACGGTCACGTTCTGACCAATCACCACTTGCTCCTGTGGGCTGGAGATTCTAGAAGGCAAACAGATGTGGGGGTGGGTGGGGGTGGGAGGAAGCAGGACACAGCTCAGTGCTGAGGGTCATTATGGGAGCTACATATTGTCTCTTTCCTTAGCAGAAAGTTAGGTATCCGAGCTTAGAAGGAACCCTAAATTTTCCCTTTTTGTGTGTCTGGAAGCAGACTCAGTAGCTCACTCCTTTAGCATTTTGTGAGCCCCTACATTGTACTGAGACCAGGTCTGTGCCCGAGCAAATCCAGGTGAGCCAAGTTGACCCAGTTAGTGGATCCTCAGCAACACACTTAAGGACACAGAATGTCACCCAAAAGCAGCCACACAGGATAGAAGTAATAACAGGCTTTATTCGCATAGGAAGTGAGAGGAGAGCTAAGGAGAAAAACTTGTGGGTGTGGCTTTGGACAAAACCAAGTACTTAGAAGTTGGACAGGACCAAGTCCTTTGTTTGGACAGGCTTCCAAGGAGGGTGTCTGTCGATGACGATAAGAGGTGGAGCTCAGCTGGGTGGGGAAGTGTACCAGGCAGTGCAACCATGCAAAGGTCCAGGGACCAGGAAGAAAGGAAATAGTTTGGGTGTGAAGGCCACTAAAAAGATATGAATTGCCCAAGGCCAGGGGAAGTCAAGGGTTGTTTTCTAGAAAGGCTTCAAATCGGCATCAGATCTCTGATTTCCAGAAAGTTCCTCAGGATCATATGCTCAGTGAGATTCCATCTATCCAAAAATTCCTGGGAGGCAGGCTCCTGGATGGGGCCCCTGCTCTGCCAATTCAGCAGGGGTGTGAGAGAAGAATGTATCCTTAGTTTTTGTTTTTTCTTCCTAGCACACAGCTCCTGGAATCTCAAAGTGCTGTGGTTTGTATGATAATGAAATGACCACAAAAGAGGATTAGTCTCCAGAAAAACCTAGGCAAGACTACAGCATTGGTTATCAGAACTACCCCTGACCTCTAACAAGAAGAGAGAAGCTGGAGATTAAGTCAGTCACAAATAGCTCATTATTTAGCCAATCCTACCTCAGCAATGAAAGCTCAGGGAGTCAGGGAGCTTGCAGGTTGGGAGACACATGGAAGTTTGGGACCATTGTGTCCAAAGAGGACACCAGATCTCCACACCCTTCTTGAATACCTTGCCCTAAGTATCAATGCCATCAATTCCATGAGTTGTATAATAAGCTGTCATAGTTAAGTAAAGCACGTCCCTGAGATAAAGAAACATCATCGCAGATTATTGAACCCAAGGAGGTAGCTTTAGGAACCCTCTCCTTAATAGCCAGTTGGCTAGAAGCTCAGGTGACAAGCTGGGACTGACTGGTGACAGAAACAAGGTCTGGTGGGACTGAGCCCTTCACCTGTAAAGTCTTTGCAAAATTCAAGTTGTCAGTGTCAGAACTATATAGTAGTACATTCAGCTGGTATCTGGAGAGCTACAGCATATGTTGGTATGGGGGAGAATCCCACAAATTTGGTGAGAGGTGTCAGGCATACCTTGAAACCTCCTTGTGCCTCCCCCTCTTATAAACTGGGGGCTGTATGGGGACCACCAGGCAGTTCCCAACTTCTGATCTGGGTGATGTTCCCGAGACGTGAACAAATTTATTTCATACATACATATTGAGACCCAAAGAAAATGTGGTGGCAAATCACCAACATATGATTCCTGGTCTATGTCAAGATAGTCCCACCTCTTCATAAGCCAAACCGCAGCCCACCAGCCTCCGCCACCCTGTTTCCAGGGACCCCAACTGAAATGTCTACCTGAAAGTGAGGCAAAGTCGTATGTTTAAAAAGCAAACACAAAAGCTCAAGCCTGAGCAAGTGGGTAGCCAGGGTGATGAGGAGGAGAGAACATGTAGGTGACGAGGCCTCCCAGGGCCGTGGGACTGTGGGCGCAGTCTTCCTTCTGTAGGATACTGTCTCCCATTTGTGAAACAGGTACAGCTTACCCCCTCCCTAGCAGGGTTGCGCAGCTACATTTGATACATGGCCACCAGCTCAGCTTGCCGTGTCACTGGCCACCAATGCCGACGTCCCACTGGATCCCAAGTAAGCCAGCCAGCCCACACAATAGGCAAGTCAGAGCCAGCAAGGGGAGGGCAACCTGGCCATCAAGGCTGAAGTGAGACACCCAAGGTGGAAATATGGCTGTGTGACCTCAAGTTAGCCACCAACCTCTTTACACCTTAATTTTCTTAAAATAGGACAGTGGGGGTGGTGTTTCAAGAACTTCATATATCCTGGGACTTTGGAAGTCAATACCCTAACAGGGCCTATCTACACCCCCAATTGTGGAACTGGACTGGCTACATCAGGTATCTGTACTCCTTTCTCCTGTTCCTTTCTGGAATTCAGTTCTCCCATTCTCAAACCTTAAGCAAAGCTAACGTTGAGCACCAACTGTAAACCAAGGACTGCTCAGACAAAATCCTCACAACTTTACAGTGAGTGTATCGTTGCTCTCCCCTTCTACAGACAGGGAGACATAGAAGGGCAAAGTTTCTGCCTTTTCCTTCTTGACTCAGGCTGAAGCTGTCCCTCTTTCTGCCCAGTTCCTCCTCTCCAAGGGAAGGCAAAAGGGACACCCAGAGGTCCTTAGTTCCAAGCGCTTGTCGCAGACCCCAACTTCCGCTCCCAAATCCAACACCAGGTGGCCCGGCGCCCAGGCACGCCTAGGTGGCGCTAGTGGTGCGCCAGATGTGCTGGCCCCCCCTCCGAGCAGTGGGGGAGGGAGGAGGAAAGAAGGTTGTAGGGTGGCGGGGACGAGGACCAGGCCCCGCCCAGCTCGTCAGACCCGGGCGGAGGAAGGAGGAGGCCGAGAGCCGAGGTGGCGTAACGAGACTTTACTCAAAACAGAAACCCGGGCGAACTAAGGATTACAAGTAGGAATGTGGACTCGTAGCAAAACAACAAAAAACATAAAAGGGCGGGAGGAGAGATTCGAAAGGGGGAGCGAGAGCGAAGACAGGGGAGGTGGGAGTTTTTTCTTCCCATTTTTTTAAAAAACCAACACAGGAAAACACACACACACACAACCAACGTTTGTTCCCGAGTAGAAACATAAATAGGGCGGAATCGAACACTCTGTTCTCGCTTCAAAAAAAAAAAAAAAGTCAAAGAAAAGGAAACGCAGAGCTTGAGGCTGTGCCCCTCCGAAGCCCTTTGGGCAGCATGTACAAAGGGGCGGCCGGGGCACGCGGGCGTGTGCAACACCGGGTGGCCGCGCGCGGGGAACAGAGGCAGCACGAGGGCGGGGATGGGGGGGTCATGCGCTCGCCCCCCCGGGAGCAGGGGGTCCAGCTTGTCGAGTCTGAGGCGCCCTCTCCGAGTCCTGGGCACCCTAGCAGGGGTCCTCAGGGGCCGCGCCCTCTCCACGTCCTGGCGCCCTCTCCACGTCTTGGCACCCTCGCGGCGGCGGGGGTTGGGGGAGCGGAAGGTGATCCCCCGAGCCGCGCCCTCTCCGAGTCCCGGGCGCCCACGCCCCCCCCCACGCGAGCCCGCCTCTCCCGCGGGGGGGGTGCGCGCATGCGCTTTGCGTGCGGGCTCAGTACGCGGGCACCTGGTGCTGGGGCAGCAGCTGGCAGCCGCTGTTGACGTGGCTGAGGACCTTCTGCTTGAGCTGCGCCACCTGCTCGCGCAGTAGGCTTGCTGTGGACGCTAGCTCAGTGTTCTGGCTCTTGAGCGTCTTCACCTTCTCCTCGAGGCGCGAGATGCGCTCCAGCTTACGCTTTCGGCACTTAGAGGCTGCGATGCGGTTGCGTAGTCGCTTGCGCTCCGCCTTAATGCGCTCCTGCGTGTCCATGTCGATGGGCGACAGCGGCGGGCTCTCGCCGAAGCTCGGCACGTCGGGCACCGTCTGCGGCTCGTCCTTGAGAGCGGCCAGGCGCGGTGGCCCCAGCGAGCCCGGGGGCGGCGGCGGCGGGAAGGGAACGGGCTCCGCGGCAAAAGCGACCGTCGCGGCACCCCCTGTGCCCCCAGTGCCGCCGGCGTAACTGCTCAGGTTCGCGTAGACTGGCGCCTCGGGTGTGGCCGCGGCCGGGGCCAGATCTCCCGGAGGTGCGGAGCCCGCAGCCGTGCCCGAGGGTCCCCCAGCGGCAGCGGCGGCGGAGGCCGCGCCCGCACCCAGCTGGTTCTGTTTGTGCAAGTCCTCCAGGGCCTTGACAAAGCCCTCGGCGAACTCCTGCTCCTCGCTGGCCGCCACCTTGGGATAGAGGAACTGCGTGCTCGTCGGCGTGGTGGTGACCAGCCCGTTGGACTGGATGATGAGGCGCTCGAGCTCCGGCGAGGCGAGCTTGAGTAGCCCCAGGTCAGGGGAGGCGAGAAGGCCGTCGGGGGGCGCCGAGCCCGGGGCGCCGTCGGTGCGTAGGGGAGCTGGGGGTGGCGCGGCCGCAGGTTTGAGCGCCGCTGCCACCTGCTCGCTCAGGCTCAGCGTCAGCGCGTCTTTCTTCATCATGCTGCTGGCCGCCGCCGTCGGGGGCGCCCCGGGGAACAAGCGACCCGAGGACGAGAAGCTACCACTGCCACTGACGCCGCCGCCCAGGCCGCTCAGCGCCTCATCGCCGTAGA